AGTCCGTTGTCACGAGCACCAAAATGTAACGTTGGAATGTGCGTTGATGTCGAAATGATGTAGAAACAGATCCAAACTTGTGTGGTAAACTGTACAAACTTTAATAACTCATACACAGTGTCGTCGCATCGCACAAAGAGACAAAGAACGCCGCACACGCGCATACGCGCGTGTGCTCACTCTCGCGCCCAGCACCCCAATCCAGAATCCCCCATTCTATTCCATCTCTCCCTATATATTCGCCCAAAACTCCCTACATCTTGAACGCACATGTCACCCGTTCTGTCTAGTTCCAACCGTTCTCCTCATTTCACACTGACTCTCGAAACTGCCTAACCTAACCACGTCCTGCCATGCTGTCTAGCTGGACTATGGCTAAAACAACTACCCGTCTAGCTCCACTGACTAATTCATGTAACGTATAAAATAGACGTTTACAGCTGGAGGTACGGCAGCCGTATCTCCAATTTACGAGGCTGGAGGTCCGGCAATTCATTCACTTTCATACAAACGAGACAAAGATGAAAATAAATGGATCATGTATGAAAATTAACATTATTGTAAACTTTACATCAGAAGATCGCAAATAATTGCCTCAGCCCTCAAACAAATGCCAAAAAGGGCTTCAACGAACGACGGCTGCCGTACCTCTAGCCACTTCGTTGATCTTATTTTCCTGTTGTAGTGGTGGGACTTTAATGTAAAAGTATACGCATACATGTATAGTTTGTGTTCCTTTGGAGTTGACTGGGCAATTCCCCCTCCCCTTACACATGCACACACACGCTACACACTATCATGACTATGGCCCTGTAAATGCATAAAAAGTATGACAAGCATTCTTGATTACATTGTGGTTCTTGATCATTTAAATTTGATTGTCAACAACCTAACTATATAGTACAAACGTGTACATTTCAGGCTCAGATATGTTATACATAACCAAGCTATTATTACTTGGCTGTTTTCTCATTCTTTTTCAGATAAAAAAGAGACAAAAACGGAGCATACAGCTTTTGAAACCAGGAAGTTATTATCTGTCAGCTATCTTCTAGAGAGAATATTTCTTATTACTCTTGACAAAGGTAGATATTCATGTATGTATAATATATGTACATTTTTACCATAGACACATTCCAGAATTGTGTGAGTTAATTGTTTCTTTTACAATGTGTATAATTCTATGGTTTGGTCTAGTGACAGATGGGCTGAGACCTAGCTTCTGTGTGTACCTCGCTGAACTCCATGACACGTTGGAAGGCCAAACATGGCTGGACAGAGACTGTTTGGAACAGGTCAGTGCTTCACCCTTGTTGTTTTTATTGTATTTCTTCATTGTTCCACCAAGTTTAATTGGCGGGTGATTTTAGTACTATCTTTTGTAATATTGTATTACACCAATAAGACTCATATCAATATCGTTTCATTCATTGTTTTTTTCATTATAACATCATTGAGAAAAAAACATCATTGTCGCTGAGGCGACGGCTATACTATAAGAACTGATCTATGTTCTGAGTAAATTTTTACCCATACTTAACAACAGATTTTTGCTTTATTTAGTTATAAAAATTGAATACATTTGAAACTTGGCCATAAGTGTATTATTAACTTTTTCAACGGTGTCGTTTAACGTCATTTCAGTTATAGTCGCGGTTTTCAGGAACTTAACTACGATGTTAATGAGGGAATTGGTGTACATGTGCAAGTGATATTGTTTGCCATTGAACACAGGCTGTGTTTGAGAGACTGATGCATGATGATTCCGCGACAGCCGTGATTCCGACTCGAAACGCACAGCATTTGAACCGCGATGGCACCACTGCAGCAGCAGAGCCCCGCATTCTCCCCTACTTGTGTCAGTGCTACATCAGAGCATGCAAGGAGGAAGCACTTGCTGACAAGGTATGACAGAGATGTGCATATAGTTCTTGCAATTAGAAGAGACAGACATGATTGGATATGGTGAGTATAAATAATCTATCGCTGGAGTGTGAAAGTTTGGAAATTATTAGGGAGATGCATATTAACTTATCCCATAGTGTTACCTCTTGATAGACTTTGAAATCCGTTAGAAAGGACTGATGAATTTGATAAGATACAGGCTAATAGGAGTAAGATAAAAAAAACGAGGTATGTTTTATTCACAGTTTTATACATATTATGTGACGTTTTCTATTGTCAGACTTCCGACGAGGATATATTTCGCCACGTTCAGAATGTGATAGTATCGAATTCAAAGACAGCTCTAATTATGAACGAGCTTTATGCCAACCAAGATATACAAAGTCAACTTCTGACTATTTTTCATGAGCACATCAATTTTTCAGGTATTGCTAGAATATTGGCTCATTTACTTATTGTTCATTCTGGCATTAATGCATCGTCATTATTGTATAAACTCGCAATTACTGTTAAAATCAGCACATTACCAAATTGTTGCTAATACTAACATGACATATAGCATAGCATAGCATAGTCACGCTACAGTATATAAATATAGCTTTAAAAATTGCTCTTACCGTGTTTTAGAGTGCGAGGCAATGTATAGGTTCTTGGAGGCGGTTGCCGTGGCAGTTGATTCAGCAGACGAAGCAGAGCTTTCCGATATCTGGTCACCTGTACTAGAAGAGATGAGGAAGAGCATACTTGCGCTTTCGCTGGTCGACTCTGCGGCCTATCAATACATGGAGCTGCTAAAGTTTCTCACACATACAGCTTGCCTTGCTCGGGTATGGGAAAGCCAGTCGACGGAAATTCTAAACTATCGACATATCTGCCATGCATGTGGATTATTTGGTTTCTAACACTAACAGTAAAAGCTATCAAATCAGTTAGGTTTGAGTGCAAGTGTGGTTCCCGTTTGTGCATTTGTTTGCATCTGCATTTGCAACTGGTCATGATGAGTGGACAGATAATGACATGCCTGTATTCATATAGTTCAGGGTTTCTTATACATAGGAGGCACAATGGCGCACCGCCGCTGTCAAATTTAACATCGCCATTGTGAAAATGTTCCTGTATTTACTGATAAGTATATCCTGTATCTATATACCTATAAGTATATCAATACATCCTGTATTTACTGATAAGTATATCCTGTATCTATATACCTATAAGTATATCAATACATCCTGTATTTGAATCCATCATGCGCATTTTTTTCCCAAACTGGCCATTACCTCCTTTGTTTAATTTTCCCTCAGAAGAAACCCTGTAGTTGTTCTCGCACAGGTTGTGGTTGAGTTCACGACCCCGAAGAATCCAGACGATGGCCGAGCATATGAGACCAGCCTACTGGGATGCACCATGTCGCTCTCATGTCTCGTCAAGAACCCTGCTGCAGAGCATGGCTTCTTTGAAAATCCATCCTCCTCGTCTCAACAGGAGCACAAGATCACAGAGCAAAATGTGTGGCGGGTGCGTGCTACCTTTAGATTGCATTACAAAAAGCAATATATTAGAGCAGGTGCTTTTTGCTTTTTTTAAAGGAGAAGTTACATATGTTGTTACATTCAAGGTTGCTTTATACCCACAGCTGGTAGTTATATTATCTTTGATCACATAATGCATTTTAATGCCATAAATTGTAAAGGCATGACTGCAATTCATCCTCATGGTTTATAGGCACAATAAATCGAGCGCTTGCCAGATTGGTTCATGATAACCACAATTGTAAAATTTGGGCATATTCAGGTAATAAAGAATGTTGCTGTCTAGTAAATGGTCACTCTGATTACTGGTTGCTCTACCAGGTACCGAGTATATCGATTCGTTAGAGCTACTCTGACATGGACTTGCCTCTTTCTGTGCAGACTTTTTTTTATATCTCTAATGCTTTTGTTGTCTATGAGATGTATAAGGGTTTGTTGTGGCGTTCTTCTAGCCTATCAAGGAGCTGAACGATAGCGTGTATACTGTGTTTTACAACCTGCTGAGAGCATCCCCAGATATACGACATCGCATGCTCGGGTGGCTAGGAGGCTGTCTGCGTGCAAACTCAGGCTCGTTAACATTTCTTGTGTCTATTGTTTGTATGGCTGCGAGTACTTTCATGTGTACATAGTATCTGGGGTGACATCCAGATTAGATGCTCACAAACGAGTTGATCATTCTATGAAATACAGTATCGTATATATATATGTCTTAACTATGATCATCGTTGATAACAGTACCGTACCCACACACATGGACATAATTGTTCATTCCAATATCCTCAGTATAACTATCTTGTTGAAGTTGCGGGGAAAGAATCGCCAGCATAATTATAACTTGGATTTCAATAACAGACGTGGTCATTCGTTTATAATGAGAGTTGTGTTGACTGGTTGTGTCATGCTTGCTTTTACGTTTTAGGCAGGACGAAGCTGTGGACTAATCACCAGTTTGACGACGTCGTGAGCCCATATGCTTCTGATGGCTTTCTACTCAACCTGACTAATGTGCTGCTGAGACTGTGCAAGCCGTTCGCTGAACCGATGTCCCAAAAGCTTCTTCGCATTGACTTGTCCTACAGGTAGGTGTCAAGCGTCTTGACAGACATGTCAGCTGTAGAAACTGTCAAGCACTGGGTGGGAATACTGGATTAAGAATCTTGTCCAGGTTGCATGATATGCTCACGAAACTATTTCAAGTTGCATAGCAACAATCGTGATGCTTTAGCAATACGATTTACTCAAATTTCATAGAAACGTGACTGAAGAATATGCCACAAGCAACCGTCTTGGAAAATAATGCAATTGCGTGGTATTTACAATAATTTGTGTTCCCAAAGGATGGCTGTAGCTTCTAGTGATCAAGATGCTAAGGAGAGAGGAATCCACATGAGAGGTCTGGCAAAGGAGACTTGTCTAATACCTGCAGCAGAAGGTGATAACAACAACGGTGACACCACACAAGTCCGCTACAATTTTAGTACAGAATGCTTCTTCATGGCACATTACAGCTTCTACCTCGGATTCCAAGTAAGCAAATAATCTCTCTTCCTCTATTCTGTTTTCATTTCATTGCTAATTGTATCCCTCGCGACGAAATCGGCGGGGGTTACAATGGTTTCACGTCTGTCCAGCCGCCGCTCGCTGCCGCAGACACTTTCCCTTCTGCTCTATAACTTGACCCTTAACTGACCTAGTGCGACCAAACTTGGTATACTTACACATCTTAGGGAGAAGGTGTGTCGCGTACCAAAACCAGGTCACTGCAACCTTTATTTGACCTTGACATTGACCTTGATCATATTTCCCTTCCGCTCTATAACTCGGCGCTTAATTGACCTACCGCGAACCAACTTGGTATACTTACACATCTTGGGGAGAAGGTGTGTCGCGTACCGAAACCAGGTCACTGCAACCTTTATTTGACCTTGACCTTGATCTTCATCATATTTCCCTTCCACTCTATAAGTCAATTGACCTAGCGCGAGCAAACTTACACATCTTGGGGAGAAGGTGTGTCGTGTACCAAAACCCCTAAGGTAACCAAATTTGACATACTTGCACATCGCAGGCAGATGAGTTGTGTAACAAATCTTTGTCTTTGTGACTTATTTCACTTAACCTACCTTGTACGTCCTTACGGAGATATTTCATTCATACTAGATCACGGGGGATACATGTAGTTGGCGACAACTGCCATTTCTAGTTAAATCAACCATTCCCCTGTGTGTGCTAGGTTCCAAAACCAATTCAATGTTCTGGGTTAAGATAATTTTACCCAATGTTTATTGTTACTACTAAGCATCGTTATTGTTACACACTAACATTACCAGTGCGGCTGCTGTTGTAATAAATACTACTGCTATTACTCGTAATGGTCTTACTGCAACTACCACCTCTTACATTACTGTTATTTCACATGCAATTATTATTGCTAGGTAGTGCATGGAAAACTAGTGAAGCTTTCACAGGAACTGGGACGGATACAGAGGGTATGGGAAGATGCACGGGACATGGCTGGAGATAGCAACGACAGTGTGCGGAGAATACACCAAGCCATGGATAAGGGTGAGAGCTAAAGACAACGTGTGGAAGTTTACATAAACTTTACATTCTTTCTTCTTCTGTACAATGTGATGCTCATGGACCTACCATTCTTAATTTATGTAAAACATATATCTGCTGTTCTGCCTTCATACGTGTGTATATATGAACCAGATATACCTCCCCTTTTGTGTCATTTTGAATTTCATATATTTGCCCTTGGTATTTTATTAGGAATCGCATACCTGACATTTATGTTGTTATCAACTTTATGTACCTAGTTGTATATGCTTGCGTTTCAAAATCTGATCAAATATTCTTATTAATTGTAAGTAAATGTAGAATTGAAACATGTTTAACGTATGATGTTTCATCCTACTGGAATCGGTAGACATTGCCACGATCGCAGACCACTGTTACTTCTGGTCCAACACATTAAGGACATGCTTGCAGGAATGACTCGCTTTCTGTCGATGAAAGCTGGTCTCTTGGAGCCACACTCTCTTGAACTGGCGCTCAATTTTCACGTTGCCACGGCGACGCTCCTGAATCATCTGGGAAGCAGCCGGCCTGGTGCTGCGGACTACCAGCCGATGGTGTTCCCTTTGGTTGAGGAAGGTTCAGAGTCGCTGGAAAACATACCGGAGTTCATGATGGAGAACGTCGTCGACTTCATGACGTTTCTGCGGCGATTTCAGGATGACATGTTCCAGGTAATTAGGAAAAGTGGTTGATTATGTGTGCAGTGAAGGTTAGTTAAGTGTGTAGGCCCCCCTAAAATAATTCTGGGTTTGTTAAACTGTAAATTTTTTTACGTATAACTATATATGTTCCAGGTAATTAGGAAAAGTGGTTCGTGATGAGTTTTCGCCCGCTAGATGAGAGCTTACCTTCAATGGCTTTCTTATTTATAACATGTTACATTTGGCTTAAAGATTGCACAACCAGACTGCAAATCAATATAATGATATTGTGTTTTATCATTTCTTCATTGATTATGTGTGCAGTGAAGGTAAGTTAAAGGTGTAGGCCCCCCTAAAGTGCTGGGTACGTTAAACTGTAAATAATACATGTTTTTTATCGTGGCCTTGTCCTGAAAGGGTAGTTGCATTCAATGGTCACTACGTTGTGTAACCACCTGTCAGACGCTGGTTTGGATATACTCATGGATTCAACACAGTCATAGTGAAGGAACGTGTCAGGTACATTTGTGTCAAAGTGTCGTGTAAGTTGTGGTGTATAGTTAGTGGCTAAGCCGTTGCATTGTCTTGCAGACTGCGGGTTCACAATTGGAGCACCTAATGACATTGACGCTGGTGTTCATGGGATCTCCGGCTAGAATGCGCAACCCCCATCTGCGAGCCAAGCTAGCTGAGGCTCTAGAAGCACTCATGCCACATCAGGACCAGCGGCTCACCATGGTGTCAATGTGAGTAGTTTGCTGATGACAGATGTAATGTGCCACAAGTTTTCCTGTAGTTGCCATGTCCCGATTAAAATTGCTTGCAACTGCTCGCTACCAATTGTACAAAAACGCATGAATCGGTTCTTCATTAAAGCATTTGGTGGTCATATTAGCTTATATTTGGCAAGTTTTTTTTTTTCATAGTGTTGAATGCTCTCGACACAATAACTTTGCACTTAAAATACAGTTCTATGTGTAGACTTACATTCCGACAGGTATTGAAAGATTCGAATTTAATTAAAGTGTGCGAGTGTTTTAAAGAGGTATACTTTTGCGCTAACTGACCTCAGCCGGGTTTACTACTTCACATGCTATTTGGCATCTTGCGTTAGGTTGAATCGTCGGCAGCTGTTTGTGGCGCACCCGCACATCCGTGAACTAGCTGCGACGCTGCTCCACGTGTTTGTGAGCATCGAGATGACGGGACAGTCCGTCCAGTTTGAGCTCAAGTTCAACTACCGGCGACCGATGTACATCGCACTCGAGTATATCTGGGGGCTGGATTTGCATAAGCAACGAATAAAGGTGCGGCTCGTGCAAGCGGTGATGAAAGACTGCTCCCGTGGGCTTGACATAGGGTTGTTCACATTGGTACGCGTGGGGCATATTCGTGTTTGAGAGAACAAGAGTATGTATCGTGACAGCAGACCGCCGCAAACAGTTCGGCATAATTCAATATTGTTGCGATGAGAGCGGTCGCGAGGTTCGCACATCTGTATCATCGCCAGCTTTGCGAATCTCGTGCTGTTGCTGTTGCTGTAGGAGCTGGCAGACCACGCGTTGCAGAACATTGAAGCGACGGATTCTCCGCTGTTCCTCCGCTTCGTCAACCTCCTCATCAACGACGCCATCTTCCTACTGGACGAGGCTCTTCAGGTACCGTCCGATCTTATTCCGATCAACCAGTCTTCCATCAAATACTTAGACCTAATTGCGATTTTAATAATAAGTAATTTTGTACATGCGTCTCGTACTTTTGAGATTTTTAGCTCACCTTGACATCGTCAAGCTGAGCTATTGCCATGGGTCGTCGTCCGTCGTACGTCCGTCCGTCCGTCCGTCCGTCAACATTTCGCTACGGTCAACGATAACTCAGGAATCATTTGACCCACATGTTTGAAATTGGGTGTAGTTGTTACTGCTATGCTCCCATATTAAACGTCCTATTTTGAAGCACGCCAGTCGACGTACTTTCGAGCCACGGCAATTTTTTTGGCAAAAATGGGAATTGCCATTAGTCAG